TTATCTGGTTAACATACCGTAAACTCAAAAACAGATCCAGAATTGCGCCGGATGAGTCAAGCCAATTACCACAACTAAGAGAAAAAGCCAAACTTGAAAAAGTTCGCAACGCCTTGACTGCTAAGAAATATGTTAAAAAAGCGGCAAAGTTTTACTTGCCAGTTTTCTTTACAATTCTACCTTGGTACATTGTAAAATTTACTGAAGCCGTGTACGAGATTTGTACAACAACCGAGGCTGGATTTTTCTGGAAGAGATTCAGTATCGCCTTTGCGTTTTTAAGCGACGCTTTTTATCCCCTGACATTTTACAGGGAATACGGTAAAACGGTAAAGTACATTTTCTGCAACAGCTGATGTCCACGGCTCGGTAATGTTATAAGACAACGTTAATGACGAATTTAACAACTGCGTCATGGTGAACAAAGTATCCTGGTGGTATGAATAGTGTTACGCGTCGAATTTGAATGGATTTTATATTCGTGTCAGTCACCTCCTCGCATGAACGGGAGGCACAGGGCCGGACGGGACATCATCACTTTCTGAAGAGAACCGAGATGGAAATAAGAGCGGTGAATTTCTAAACTGTCATGTTTATTGTAAAAAATGTCATACAGTACCAAATTAACAAAAAACGAATGCCTGATCAGGTTCAGCATAGAACATCCACTCATTGGTTAGTACATGCCAAAATTTTATTTGAACTTTTCAAGCTTGTTTAGGTCTTGTTTCAGTATTTTTTTTTTTTTTTTATGCGATCTTTTAGTTTCTTTCACATTTCTCCCTGAAAGCCCCCGTGGAGAGGATCGTTGTCCGTGTTGTTTTTCTGAAATAGGATTAGTTGACTCCGTCATTTGACTTATACGTCAATTTGATTGTTCTTCCATGAAAGTTGAGAATCGCTTGCACTTTCATTTGAGAATATTTCGTAATGTCGGTCTTGCAAGGACCGGTAATTATTTATCGCCAAGGGTGGTTGAGGATTTTGGTTGTGTTTCGACGTTAACATAACACCATTATCAAGTCAAGAAGAATGATAAATTTAAAAGGTTTAAATACTAAACTAACAATAAGTTTTCTCTGAATCTTAAAGAGACATTTCTTAAGATCGCTTCTATCGTGCATAGTAGTGTTATGTTTGCCAATTCGACCGAATTTTTGTGTTTAGCAACAAGTTGAAAAAGACTCCGCGCCGCGTAAAAATAGAATGAAATAAAAAAATAAACACTAGCGAGAAAAACACACAACGTTTCGATGACTCCATGTCATCATTCTCAAGTGAGAAGAGAATAAAAATGAATAGTTAATTTATACCGTACGAAGGTGGCAAACGTAAAAAGTTTAAAATATTTAAAATATTTAAATAAATAATTGCGCGTGTTAAGTTCATAAATGTAAACTATTAAATAAATAGTTTCNCATACGCGCGAAACTATTTATTTAATAGTTTACATTTATGAACTCAACACGCGCAATTATTTATTTAAATATTTTAAATATTTTAAACTTTTTACGTTTGCCACCTTCGTACGGTATAAATTAACTATTCATTTTTATTCTCTTCTCACTTGAGAATGATGACATGGAGTCATCGAAACGTTGTGTGTTTTTCTCGCTAGTGTTTATTCTTAAATGTCTAACAAAATCTAATGTCATTCGAAATAAAAAAAAAAATATAAAAAGATCACCTGACCGTTAATTTTTATGTAAAAGTAATGTGATACTTAGCCAGTTCCAATCCATTTAAAAAATACTTTTTAATCGTCGTTTTTTTGTAGGCACCTTTTTTGAAAAGGTTTTATATGAAAAGCAACCACAAACTCCGTTAAATTATTAGATGCACAAATAACTTTTGCAAAAATCCAAAATTTGTTTGTGATCCTGGCCTTATCGGTTTCTGAAGAAAGCAACTCGAGCTCATTTCAGTTAGTAGCCTCGCCCTTCTAGCACCCAGGTCTATTACTCAGCTCCCCTTCTTTGAAGTATTGAGTTGTAAACTTAGTTTGTTTACATCGATAAGACGTAAAACTTTGCCCTAACAGACAGATATGACTGCTGAGAATGACATGTCACCATGGAAACGGTCGATAAGTTGAGATTTCACTTGACCGCAGTTAGCTTGTCGATTCAACTGTCTGCTGGCGAGTTAGGTATTGAATTTGATTTCACAACCGGCAGAGACTCGACTGTCTGCTGGCGAGTTAGATATTGAATTTGATCTCACAACCGGCAGAGACTCGATTCAACTGTCTGCTGGCGAGTTAGGTATTGAATTTGATTTCACAACCGGCAGAGACTCGACTGTCTGCTGGCGAGTTAGATATTGAATTTGATCTCACAACCGGCAGAGACTCGATTCAACTGTCTGCTGGCGAGTTAGGTATTGAATTTGATTTCACAACCGGCAGAGACTCGACCGAAAAGAAGATGAAGACCATTCTGTGTATTGCGGTAAGAAGAAAGATTTTAAATCTTTAAATTGTACCCATTACACCAAACTTATCATAAACGTAGTTCCAGCAATCTTTCCTCAGCTATCATCTGATACGAGCGTAAAACTGCGAACTCTGACGAGATGATTTCATTATCATGGCAGTTTGTGAAGTGAGATTACCACAGTTTCAAAGATGAAATTAAAGTACTATCGTTGGTCTTACAATGTAGTCACTTAAGACGTGGATCGAAATGTCTCTATTGCATACTTCTGGTCTTCTTCAGCCGGTGTATCGCTGTTATTTTCACGGAGGTTTTGTTTTTGAAGAGGGTTTATTTTCTTTCAGTTGAGATGCCCTTGTCCTCTGAATGGCGTTGTATTGAACATTGCTTTTTACGTGAGATTTTAAGACAAAAGCAATTAATTTTATTCCGCTCTGATTCTAGCACAACTCCTCATAATTCTGTGTGAAAAGCTAGCTTGACTTCTTAAATTACAAATAAGAGCGCTATAGCCAATTCTGTCTGCTTAACAGAAAGCATTATTTTGCCCGCAGCTATTTTTACATTTTGTAGGTTAGTTTTATTATTTTTTTACGTTTTTCTGTCTCAGAAAAACAAAAAACAAAGAGAGTAAGATAAACCTCTTTTAAAGACTTTTCACTCTTTCAGAAGTAGAAATAGGCTAATCACCCTTGGTCGGGCAAAGTTCCATGGTAACGAAACTGTTTTAGTAAGAATGCGTTCGTCATGAGGGCGCAGGACTTTAAAAGCTGATAAAGGAATATGCATTGTATAAAGGCTGAAAGTTTCTAAAGAAACTGAGGTGCTGCGTCGGTGGGGGTAACAAGGTAATTTGGTTGTATCAACTAAGTTGAAATTGTAAATTGGCCACCTTAATGAGTTAAAAAGCTGACGTTTCGAGCGTTAGCCCTTCGTCAGGGCTCTGACGAAGGGCTAACGCTTGATATAACCAAATATTCACTGTAGTTCGCTAAACGAGACCAACTGTTTTTAGTTATCGTGTTAGATGTTTTCCTTTTTTCGTGTGCAAGTCATTTATATAAACTAAGAAAAGATACCCATGCCGTTGTCAATTGAAGCCACAAAATTGATCGATTGGTCAGCTAATGATTGTAACAATGGCTGTGCCTTTCCTCAAGATGTGATTGGTCTCTCTAAGAATAAACATTTTTGTGTCTGTTAAAGAGTTTTTCGAAGTGAAAGTGAGCTGTTAATTAACCAGAAACTAATATTTTAACAATTTTATTTTGCCTTGTTTCAGTTTGTCCTGTTAACCTCCACATTACTTGCATTATGGTATTTGCCACCAACAAGTAAGCGAAAATCTTTGTTTCCTACATAATTGAGTAATTTCTGGGCTAAGCAATCCCAAACATGTATTTTACGGTTGGTCTGGTTTTAATTTTTACAGACATCTGCAGTTTTGATTGGAAAGTCACAGAGGTTGAAGACTGAAACTCTTTTACTATACTGACACCTAGTCACTTTACTCTGATGATAATTTCCACCAAAGCTGTCGTAGAAAAGCCCCACATGAATAATCACTACCACTTATTCATTTTGGGTGAAAATCTACATTCTTATAATCTATTTGAGTTCATAATTTTCGTTGTTCAATAATAAACATCTGAAAGACAATTCAAATATATAACATTCCACCTCTTTTTATTTTTTTTTCTAGCAGCTTTACCTGTGAATTGGCATGACTATTTCAGTAATGAGATTAGGGATTACTGGGCACTCCCTCGTCGAGAGAGTACATATGCCGGACAAGAGCCAAGCCTAGTTGAAAGAAATTACGATGTTGAGGAATGCGGAAAAAGAAGCGGAATTGACGTCAATGAAGAAAGTGAAAAATACTTTAGTTGGGATGGTGAAAGTGATGAGTCGGGCAGTGGTGCCGGAAGTACAGGGGAGGGAAGTTCTGGTAGTCATGGGGAGAATAATGGAAGTGGAGAGGAGGGAGGTAGCGGACAAAGTGGAATGGAAGGAGGCAGTGGGGAGAGTGGAATGGAAGGAGGCAGTGAAGGAAATAGAATGGAAGGAAGTAGCGGAGAGAGCAGAATGGAAGGAAGCAACATAGACAATGGAATGGAAGAGAGCAGTGGAGAAAATGGAATGGAAGGAAGCAGTGGAGAGAGTGGAATGGAGGGAAACAGCGGAAAAGGTGAAATGGAAGGAAGCAGTGGAGAGAGTGGAATGGAAGGAGGCAGTGGAGAGAGTGTAATAGACAGAAGCAGTGGAGAAAGTGGAATTGAAGAAAAAAGCGGAGAAGATAGAATGGAAGGAAATAGTGGAGAAAGTGGAAATGAAGAAAGCAGTGGAGAAAGTGGAATAGAAGAAAAAAGCGGAGAGGATAGAATGGAAGGAAAAAGTGGAGAAAGTGGAAATGAAGGAAGCAGTGGAGAAAGTGGAATAGAAGGAAGTGGCGAAGAGAGCGGAATGGAAGGAGGCAGTGGAGAGAATGAAATGGAAGGAAGCAGTGGAGAAAATGGAATGGTAGGAGGTAGCCATGAAAATGGAATTGAAGCAAGCGGCTATGAAAATGGAAGTGAAGGACGCAGTAGAGAAAGTGGAATGGAAGGAGGCAGTGGAGAAAATGGAATGGAAGGAAGTAGCGAAGAGAGTGGGATGGAAGGAGGCAGTGGAGAGAATGGATTGGAAGGAAGCAGTGGAAAAAATGGAATGGAAGGAAGCAGCCATGAAAATGGAAGTGAAAGAAGCAGTGGGGAAAGTGGAATGAGAGGAAGCAGTAGAGAAAATAGAATAGAAGGAAACAGCGAAGAAAGTGGAATGGAAGAAGGCAGTGGGGAGAATGGAATGGAAGGAAGCGGTGGAAAAAGTGGAATGGAGGGAAGTAGCCAAGTACATGGAGAAGAAGGAAGCACAGAAGAAAGTGGGGGCGAAGGAAGTAGCGAAGATAATGAGGAGGAGGGCAGCAGCGGAGAAAGTGGAGAGGAGGGAAGCAGTAACGGACACGAGGAGAAGGAAAGCAGCACTGAAATTGATAAGGAAGGAAGTGGCGAAAAAAATGGAAACGAGGAAGGCAGTGAAGAAAGTAGCGAGAAAAGTGGAGAGGAGGAAAGCTTTGGAATGGAAAATATCATTGCTGTTAACAATGGCCAAGTTCTTTTGGCTGGTGGCATTCCTCGTAACCCTACTACCGAGCCTCTTTCACCGACACCTGAGAGGACAGATGCCGTTCAGGACCTCTTAGAGATGGTCAAAGAGATAGAAAATGCAGCAGAGCTTCCGAGGCCTTAATTGGGTTGGAGTGTCAACACTGATAATAGGACCAGATATATAGTTGTATTAAATATGACTAGAGATAAAACTAGAAACGACCATGTCTTCCCATGCTTGACTTCTTTCGAGGATCAAAAAGCGCAGTGCTTCAATGAGATATAGGGGCGCATTCAATTCGGTTGGAAAAAATTCGGTGGCAATTTTCTTTCTGGAGGATCAGTTAAGCTCTTTTTTTTTAAAACATAACTAACGGAGCTACCCTACTCCTTTTGCACAGATCAGACTTTTCTCCCAGTAAAAGAAAAAAGAAAAGGCCCCTGGTTAGAGAGGCGGTCGGTTCTAGTCCAGAATTATATTTCATTTCGTTTGGTTTTGATTTTTGCCGTGTAAAATCGCTCATTGTAGCTGAGATTCTATGGCTTTTTAGACTTTAAGCGGTGGAATAGAGAAGGCCTTTATTATTAGTGCTACGGCACGAGCTTAGCGCGGTCTTGAGGAACGCAACCAGGCGAGAGGTCTGCCAGGGGATCGAGTCAAGCACTGATTACCAGTGCCAGACCCCGAAAAACCTCCTTCTGACAAGATTGGTCTTAAATCTTCCAGCGGGCAGAGAAACGAGCGTCCTACAATGAAGACCTGCTGGAAAGCTCACGAAATGTGACACCGTTAACATGTCTGCAAAGCTACAAAATCTAGTTAAGCCCCAATCAAGTCTTAGTTAGTTTAATGGTATTTTAATTAACAACTCCTGAGGCTTGTTTCCATAGTTACAACAACAAACATGAACGGTGGGAACTTGAGAAATAAATGGTACAGTATTTTTTTCATTATTTTTTCAAAATGTACAATGGAACAAAACTTTGAGCACATCCCCTTAACATCTAAAGTAGAGTCCAGTTATCGGTTAGAAAAGACCATTCCATTTCATTTCCCATAAGATGAAAAGACAAAACAGCCCTAAATCGAAGTAAATAAGGATGATTATATCCTTTCGACCTCTGCAAGTCTGTTCGGCGTAATGCCACGGACTTTTAACTTTAAGCTCATAACTTGGCTTCAATTTGAATCTTGTTTGTCAATTTTGGATTAACTGAAGAAGAATTTTTCCGTTAGAAAATAAATTACTTGTAGGTTTTTATCATTTACTGTCAGAGAAATTGAAAACACCACTTTTTAGAATACAGACAAAAAACTAAACGAATCTATATATTTTTATCAAGTAGAATTTGCCGTCAAAGTGGGGGGAAGGGGGACAGGGGGTCAGAGTCTCCCCCTTCCCGTGCCTCGTTCTCCCGCCTCCCGTACTTTTATGCCCTTTTGTCTCCCCTTTGCCTCCCTTTGCCCAGGTCTAACTTTCAAACTGTGCCAAAATTTAATATTCCTGTTCATTTTCACCGGAAGTAATGCTGTTTTATCAGCCCGAGTACAAATTTACATTTTCTTGCCTTCGAAATTTCATAGCATTGGTGGATGTTAAAAGAAAATTTTAAAACTAGATAAGTGTTTTAGACTGGATAATACCCAGTAATAAGTTTGTACTCGTCTCGCGCGTTATTTGTACTCTACGAAGCACAGTTGGATAATAAATATATCTTATTATTAAAAACTGGATCATTGGATAATGCAGTTCAAGACTTTTTATTGGCTTAGCCATTATGGTATATGAGCCCATATACCATAATCTAATATCTGTACATTGTAACATCCGGTTTCTTCTTACAAAATAAAGTCGAGAAGATTTGTCTAATATCTTAGGAGCGTTTTTTTAAATAAAACAATTATTCCACTCGCACTTGTT